CTGAGAAAGCAGTGGAAATTTGAAAGTGGTAGTGGATGTTTTGTTAGGGGTAGTCCAGTTGTAGCCTTTTTTTTTGTTATGCAGCTTGCCTTCATAGGGTCAAAACTGGATAAGTTATTGAGTGGGAGGGGTCCAAATGCAGATGTTGGGGTTCAATATTACTTTATCCTTAGTTTAACATTTTCTTTTGTGTGGGTGTGGTAATGTATCAGTTATTTAGCAAATGACCATTTTTCATACTTTGGATGCATTGGAGGTTGTACATGTGTTGGTAGCCTGTGTTTATATAGGCATATCATGACACAGAAGGTTTGCCTTTCAAACCGAAATATTGGGCAAATTTGTTAAAATATATATATTTTGTTTTATTCTTTTGGTTTACTTCTTCATTGCCTTGCGATAAGGATCAGTTTGTCGTTTTATGATTTTCTACAAGTTATTATAGTACTGATCGAGGTCTACTACTGGGAGATCTGGCACCACTCAACGGTCAAGTAACTATGGACTAGCTGATATTCTATACACATATCGTGGGTGGAACTAGGGGAGGGGTCCAGGCACCCTCCTTATTTTTAGGCGTAACTGAGGCCTGTAGGGCTAAGAAAATGATTTTGAAAGCCAGTCCCTCTCTTGGCTTAGGCTCTGCATGAGTGCTCCCCGCCCTGCCCCCCAGGCCCCCACTAACTTGAAGATCTGAATCTGCCACTTCATTGAATGCTGGTGGCAAGCCCTTCTTTTTCCTTGGGTGAATACGTGTGAAATAACCTGGTAGAGTTAAGTGGCTCTATAGCTCTGTTCCTCCGCATCGAGGCTTCGAGCCTCGCACAGCTCATCCCCAGGGTCTTCTCGTTTTCCACGCCATATTGAAAAACGAGAAGAACCTGGGGACGAGGTTGCACCCTTTCCAGATTTCCACGAAGATGGTAAGTAACACAAGAGTTGTTAGTAAACAGAGGCAAGTAAAAGACAGGTAAGATTTGAAGCTATACTTTATTTGGTTCATTTTTACTGCCAATATAGCTTTTAGTTAGAGAGATGCGGATCAGTCTCTGTGGGTAATTTATACCTTTGCACATTTTCTAAAGAATTCTGTTGGCAAAACAGAAAAAGAAACTAAACAAAACATCTGAGCACTGGCTGCACAGTACGCGTTAAAGCAGATCTATTCATCATCAGATATCAGGAAGAAAAAGTGATACTGACGCTAGCTGAAAAAAGAATAGGATATCTGAGGATAATTTCCAGTAAATAAACACTATACCTTTCGTTTCGGCAAACAATAAAAAGAATTTTTTTTCGTCCTTTGAACAAGTTCAAGCTTCGCTGCTCTACGCCATTGAGGGTCACTGAAAATGACGTCATTCCAAACAACCGCTGACCAATATTATCATGTTGCTCAATCCTGCTCAATCCAGAATGGCGGCCGGCGAGGCAGGAGTCGAGCAAGAAATAAATCGACGGTTGGAAGTGGTATGTGGGGCCCTTTGGGAATAGAGATTAAGAGATTATCTAGAATTTGTGGCTAAGGTTCGATTCTTTTTGCTGTAGATGCCAACAGGGGACCCTGACAATGAAACCTGTGCCACGTTTGTTCTGCATGAAGAAGATCACACTCTTGGAAACTCTCTAAGATACATCATCATGAAAAAGTATGAGGAGGAGGAATTAAATGGGAAGGCCCATTACATATTTTTTTAGCTTTCAACTTATAGCCTCAGGTTGCCGTACGTGAGTTTTAAGTCTGTCCCTTATGATATTTTTTTGAAAGGTGAACAGATAGCTCACCCTATCCCCCACCCTCCCCCCACAACAGTTTGATTAGTACAGTGGCTCCTAGACATAAAGGGGTACAGCCAAATGGGAAGTCACCAGATACCAACTATTAGAATAACTACAGAATACCCAGCTACTAGTGAGCTGTAACCCTTAAAGAGCTGATTATGTTGATAGGCAGTTTTTATTTTAATACACTCTTCTACCATTAGTGGCTATAAGGATGACAAATAGATGTGATAGTGTTTTGCATGCTATACCATTATACAAGTGTATTTCCCTACCTTGATCCCAGATTCTCTCTCCTACCTGTCTCTCTCGCTCCATAGGGATGGTTATAGAACCCTGGGAATGAGGTTGCTGTATTTCCAAGTGGATGTGCGGATACTTGACTTTGTGTCCACATATCTGCGTATCCACCTATTTTTAGGTGGCTGCTGCCTAACCTGTCCAGCACAGCTGTGGTTTTAGTTTTAAATGCATAAAACTCAAAAGAATGTCAGTGACCCCAATTTCTCTTATAAAATATCAATGAGCATATGAACAAAAAATCATTTCCCAATAAAATTTATAAAATAATATTATGCCTTTTGTTACACTGCAGTCCTGATGTTGTGTTCTGTGGATACAGTGTGCCACATCCATCTGAGAATAAAATCAATCTCCGCATACAAACAAATGGTAAATTAACACAAGATTAATATCATAATCATGATAATAACATCAATTTATGATTCATAGACTTACATGTCTTTAAGTCTGAAGCATTTTCCCTAGTAATGGTGATTTCTTTCAGATTTTCAGATATGAAGGACAGATATGTATAAGACCACAGAGAAAGTGCCTTTATTATCTACAGATACCATAAAATTCCGAAAATAAGCCCTGGGGCTTATATTTTTCAAAGGCCCTTTTTGAGGGGCTTATTTTTGGAGGGGCTTATATTTGGAGGGGCTTATCCACAGAGGGAAATTTGTATTTCAAAATCGATTGGGCTAGCCTTATAGTTGGAAGTAAATTTACTGTTTTTGCTTTGTTTTACTTTGTATTTGAGGCAATTTTCCAAGTACAAGCCCCCGGGGAGCTTATATTTGGAGGGGAGATTTAACGGAGGGTTTTTTGCATGACCAGTTTGGGAAGCTTAAATTTGGAGGGGCTTATACATGGAGGGGCTTATTTTCAGAATTTTACGGTATTTCATGCCCTTATGAAATACAAAATATCAAATTTTAGAGTTTCATTGCTTTTTAAAAATTTATTATTCTAAAACTGTTTACTAAATTTCCCTTTTTCAGTGCATGGTGGCAATAACGTTTTACTCTCTTTAGGTCCTCCTGCTGTAGATGTCCTAAGAAGAGGGCTATCTGAGCTTACTGCCTTGTGTGAGCATATGCTGGCAACATTTGAGGTCAGGCATTGCCCAAGTTAATGTTTTCTACTATACATGTTAACATAGGAATTTGCTTTGATATAAATGGTAAATCATAACGGCAACTTCTGAACTTTTCTTATTAAATTTTGTTCAATTCTTCCACAGACAGCTGTGGAGGAGCACAAGGACTCAAAGAAAAATGGTGATTTTGAAATGTCCACCACTGAAGACTAGAATCTGCGTGCAAAAATGGGATGCTAGAACAGCAAATCATTCCAGAATTATTCCAGAATGTTGTTTCTGCTCCAGATGCGTGGTTTACAAAGTATAGAGCTTACTCATGTGAATGAAACCAGTTAGAAGGCAAAGGAAAGAGGCCTTTTTAGGGCTATACCATGTGTCTGTTTTGTCAGAGAATATCAGGCCTGAAGCATGTGTTTTAAAATTCTGTTAGACATAGTTGGTAGTTAATGTGATTCTGCATACAGACTGTGGCCTTAAATATTTGTAACAGAAAAAAGTGTTCCACTGAGAACAATAAAATGACAGAGTTCCCCAAGAAAACCACTCTTTGGCACTTGCAAAATGTTTAAAAACTTATATCTTTATGTCTTTCTTTTGAGGTTGTTCTGTCTCTGGATTCAATAGCATTATGTATATATAGCTTCTTACAGTAAGACCCAACATTTTCATAGAACATCAACAAATATGAAATCAATAAAAATAAAGAGCAAAATACTGTCTAGTTATCAAGCTGCACATGTTGCCTTGCTCAATCTTCTCAGCTGCCTGTGGGGATGGTGTTCTTCCTGCTACTTGTGCCAGCTTGCATACAAGCATTACTGCTCGAGTTATTGCGCAAAAGTTGGAGTGAGAGCAGTCGAGTGGAATTGCTTGTTATACAGGCTTAAGACTTGTCTCTGTCTGGTATGCACTTCAGTAAATATAAAGGATTTCTGCTGAGAAAGTAGTGGAAATTTGAAAGTGCGAGTGAATGTTGTGTTAGGGGTAGTCCAGTTGTAGCCTTTTTTTGTTATGCAACTTGCCTTTAGAGAGCCAAAACTGGATAAGTTATTCAGTGGGAGAGGTCCAAATGCAGATGTTGGGGTTCAATATTACTTTATCCTTGGTTTAACATTTCCTTTGTTTTTGGGTGTGGTAATGTATCAGTTATTTAGGAAATGACCATTTTTCATACTTTGGATGCATTGGAGGTTGTACATGTGTTGGTAGCCTGTGTTTATATAGGCAGATCACCACACATAAGGTTTGTCTTTCAAACCGAAATATTGGGCAAATTTGTTAAAATATATATATTTTGTTTTATTCTTTTGTTTACTTCTTCATTGCCTTGCGATAAGGATCAGTTTGCCGTTTTATGATTTTCTACAAGTTATTATTGCACTGATCCAGGTCTACTACTGGGAGATCCGGCACCACTCAACGGTCAAGTAACTATGGACTAGCTGATATTCTGTACACATATCGTGGGTGGAACTAGGGGAGGGGTCCAGGAACCCTCCTTATCTTTAGGCCTAACTGAGGCCTGTAGGGCTAAGAAAATGATTTTGAAAGCCAGTCCCTCTCTTGGCTTAGGCTCTGCATGAGTGTTCCCCGCCCTGCCCCCCAGGCCCCCACTAACTTGAAGATCTGAATCTGCCACTTCATTGAATGCTGGTGGCAAGCCCTTCTTTTTCCTTGGGTGAATACGTGTGAAATAACCAGGTAGAGTTAAGTGGCTCTATAGCTCTGTTCCTCCGCATCGAGGCTTCCAGCCTCGCACAGCTCATCCCCAGGGTCTTCTCGTTTTCCACGCCATATTGAAAAACGAGAAGAACCTGGGGACGAGGTTGCACCCTTTCCAGATTTCCACGAAGACGGTAGGTAACACAAGAGTTGTTAGTAAACAGAGGCAAGTAAAAGACAGGTAAGATTTGAAGCTATACTTTATTTGGTTCATTTTTACTGCCAATATAGCTTTTAGTTAGAGAGATGCGGATCAGTCTCTGTGGGTATGCTTCGCCTATTGTCACGCAAATCATTGTAACACGAGCGGCGCGTCTGTTTGTCCATGTTCCGAGTGAAGAGTTTCAGATTCGTTCTTTTCATCATCTCGTGAGTCATTTTGCAGATTTAAGGCTGCAGAAGTGTAGATGAGATAGAACAGAAAGAGCAGATGTAAAGGGGTAGTTAAGTTCTGTAATGCTTCAAACTTAACGAGCTGTTCATTTCAAGCATATAAATTTTTGCATAATTCAGCTTCTATGAAATTAGTCAAATTGGTAAGGATACTGTAATTTCGAAACTGAAGCAGCTGTACATGTTCTTATTAATACTTTTGATAGCTCAGATACTAATCTTTTCAAGTACATGATTCAAGGGTTTAGGTTGTTTTAATTTAAAATTCTACAATTGTCCGCCTTTGCATATTCACTGTTACATAACCCGGCCCCTGATAATTGCCTTTGAATTTTATTCATAATTTGTAAATTTTTGAAATTGCAGATGATTTCTTTTCTTTGCTGATCCAAGTGTTAATGGAATGGATGCTTTTTGTTTCCCGTCTTCTTGTGATCAGTCGGCATGTAATAATAACATAATCATTCTCAATCAAGGAAGTGGTGAACAAACCTTCAACAATCTTCCTTTTTATGTTAATGATGCAGAACAACCCATTGGTTTTGTCACCGTTCCAAGCAATGGTGCTCTGCAAAGCAACATACAATTTTCCTTGCAAAATCTTAGTCCTGAAAACAACATTCTGCCAAGCAGTGAACAAGAAAAGAGCTTTGAATCCACGCAAAGAAGTTATGAAAGTGAAGATGTTAAACCTCCTGTGGGACTTGTACCCGCAAGTTCTGGTGACACTTTCGCAGTTGTCTCAGAAGACAGTAACATTAATGTTTTAAGTGGAAGTGGGACGTGCAGTGGAAGGAATAGTGGAGAACAACTTGGGAGTTCTGGAGTACCAGTGACACAGGCTGTCCAATCCAGAAGATCTCCTGAGTTGCCTTGTGATAAAGATGGCTACAAAAATGTCGGTCTTGTATCGTCCAGCTTCATTAGAGCCTCCCAAGCTGAAGGAACCTGTGAGCTTACTTGTGATGAAAATTGCTACAGCAATGTTGTACATGTACCATCTAGCTCTTTGAACTTTAACATGGCAAATGGCATTCTGCGAAGCAATGGGCGTGAAGAAGATTGTGAATTTACTCCAAGGGACAGTGAAATTGAAGATGTGAAACCCCTGGTTTGTCTTGCACTGGAACATTCAAATCTTGAACCCAATTGTGGCAATCCACCCCACGGGAATGAAAAAGGCATTCAAACTGAATTGACAGATATGCAGAATGAAGGCTTTTATGCCTCAGAATCTGTTTCTGAGTCCAGCAATGCACCAAGTTCTAGCAGTGAAAATAGCTCCAATGTTACAATGAGTTGTAATAACATTGAAGTGATGGAAATATCAGTATACTTTGACCCTGAGTGTTCAAGGTCTACTGAGGTATTCTCAAGTCAAAGCAGAACATCCAATGTAAGGAACCCTTTAAGAGCTCTTGAGATTCACGAAGCTACAGTGCCAGCACAGGAATCCCAATCTGGAGAATCTCATGATCTTTTATGTTATGGCTTGAGCAGTGCTAATCAGCTATCTTCTAACCCTTTGGAGCCTGGAATGCTAATCAACAACAATATTTCCCCAATGGGGGATCCAAGAGTTAATGGTTTTCAGAACCAGCCTGTTACTGACAACGTTACCAACCTTGTGTTGAATTCACCAGCTCCAGATTTCTATGCCAGTTCCTCCTCCCAGCCTGCCAATAGAAGTAGAAACATCTGTCCTTATTGCCAGAAATGGTTTCGATCAGACAATTTGAATCACCATATCCTTGTTGTACACTCAACATTTAAACCCTTCAAATGCCAGATATGTCCAAAGGAATTTGCTGCAGAGTTTGACTTGAATAAACATGTTGAAAGACACACAAAGCTCACATGTCCATATTGTACAGAGGTGTTTCTCAGAGGCAGATCTTTACTGAAGCATGCTGTTTTACAGCACAAGGATAAAGATCTTTCCAGCTTACCCCTCTGGTCATTCAAGAGAAATGCTTTGCCATGTATGTATCGAGAAAAACCTAGTATGTTTGGTATTTTATTGCCATTCTTGTTTATCAAATTTTGTTTTCCTTTTTTTCTGGGTATGGTATTTCTGTGAGTTTGAAATAGAGAAAAATAAAAATTAACAAAATTAGCTGACCATCATTGTCTTTGCTGTGGTTAATTTTTTATCTCAGGTAATTACTATTTTCCCTTTGTTTCAACTTCATTAGCATGCATTACCATACCCAAAAACAAAAGAAAAGCAAAAATTGCCTGAGATAAATGAACTACAGTGGAACCCTGACAAGAAGAGCCAATGCATTGGCATCTGATTAGGGTTACAAGAACCAGAATTTGAGTTATCGAGGTAACTTTCAGTGAAATTTGGATCAAGGGAAAGGAAATTTAGTGCGAGTTAGTGGGGAATTTGAATTTTTCGAGTTTGAGCTAACAAAGTAAAAATGACTGAAAGGTGTGAAGAAATCCAAGGGAAATTGGACTTAGTTCGAGTTAGTGGGAAGTTCAACTTATCAAAGTTTGAGTCATTGAGGTTCCACTGTACAAAATGTTAGTACAGTGGAACCTCGATTTAATGAAGTGCCAAGGGACAGGGGAAATTTGTTCATTTTATCGAGGGTTCATTATATAGAACACCCCCATTTAAAGAATTTTCAGGACAACTATCAAAATGTTTGTTATATGGAGGTAAAGTTAATAATTAATTTACAAAACCCAGCATTTCCGGATCTGAAAAATTACTGTTGTAACATTTCAGTACCGAGCCAATACATAGCTACAGCACTAGAAACTCAAGAACAAGCAAACAAAACTGCTTACAGTCAAACCAAGTCAAGCGTACCCCCCAAGATTCTATCAGTGAATTGATTATTTGAAAAATGAACCCGTTAGTCGTTCCCGTAACTGGTGTCAAATTCAAAGCGGCATTTCTGCATGAGTAATGAGCAGTGAATATTTTACGAGAACTTCTCTGTATTTGGTCAGATTGGAAATCTTTGAATGGATTAAGCTTCTTAGAAGACATTTACATCAATTTCAGGAAAATGGAGCTGGTAGAAATTTCATAACTGCCTCGCATGTGAATTCACGGCTCATTACACATACAAGAATGCAGAGATCAATCTGAAATCTACAACTAGCAACGGATTCAACTTTTGAATAATAAATTCATTAATGGATTCTTGGGGGGTACGCTTGACCTGGTTTGACTGTAAAACTACCGTACACATGAATTTTATCCTTGTTGGTCTGATTGGCATTAATCTTTTATCACATGCTGGCATTTATTTGTTATATTGAGGTAAATTTTATGTTTGTGCTTGTGGATTGTGTTCGTTATAATGAGGATTTCATTAAATTGAGGTTCTGTTCCATACGTTTTACTGTAATTTTGGCTGGGCTGCAGAAAATCATTTGTTACACTGAGGATTTCGTTATTTAGAAGTTTGTTAAATCATGGTTCATTTTAATTATTTCTGTGTATCTACAGGTTCAAGCCCAGGTCATTTTAGCTGCAGCTCCTGTTTGGTTGAATATGACTCACTAAGGGCCTGTCTAGATCATTGTGTTCGCAGCCACTTCTTCAAAGAATGCTGGGTTTGTCAGAGGTTATTTGAAAAAGAAACACAACTCAAGAGACATATAAAAACTCACACAGGTGAAAGAACATTTCCCTGTGACCACTGTGACAGGTCTTTTTTTACTGACGCAGAGAGAAGGATGCATTTGAAACGTCTAACTTTGGAGAAATCTGTCAAGTGTAGTGTTTGTGACAAAGGTTTTAAAACACAAGCACAGAGAGATAGACACGTTTTAACCCACAGCAATGACAAACCATACCAGTGCACAAGTTGCACAAAGACCTTTAAAAGCCAGAAGGCATATGGTGTTCATGTTCGATTACACACTGGAGAAATGCCGTTTGAATGTCAATATTGTGAGCAAGGCTTCAGAAGTTGGCGTCGTCGGCAAAGTCACCAAATGAAGGATCATCCTGATCTGGTTCCCAGGAAAGAGTACAATTGCAGCTACTGCTTGAAGTCATACTCGAACTCTTCCTCATTCGCATCACATGTAAAGAGGCACACTGGCCAAGTTCTTCGATGTACGTCATGTACTTTTGTCACTGTTTCAAAAGAGAACCTTGATATCCACATGAACAGCCACACGGGAGCAAAGCCTTACAAGTGTCGTTATTGCCCCATAGCTTATGGGCAACCTAATCGCCTTACCATTCATGAACGGTCTCACACTGGTGAAAAGCCGTACGCATGTGATCAGTGTGATAAGGCGTTTGTAGATAAGTACAGCCTAGTCAGACATGTTCGTATACACACTGGAGAAAAGCCTTACAAGTGTAGCTACTGTGACAAAGCATTTGCTCAAGGATGTCAGCTGCAGTTTCATGAAAGAACTCACACTGGAGAAAAACCGTATGAATGCTCCCAATGTGAGAAAAAGTTTACTCGTCGACAGGAACTCAATAAACACATTGAAACTCATAAAAAAAGGCAACAAGATGATCAAAGCGAGAAGAAGGCCGCTGAAAAACATTATGAATGCACCTCCTGTAAAAAGAAATTGTCTTGTCAAGAAGAGTTAAGCAAACACCTGGAAACCCATCAAAAAAGACAACAGTTGGTGAAAAGGAAAAGGAAACAAAAGATAGCAGAGAGTGATTCTGGTTCAGAGTTCAGTGATATGGAAGTACAAGATTTGGGGCAGAATAAGGAAGAGAGACTTGCAAGTTTAAGAAGTGCCAAGGTAAAAACCAGACGTAAATGATGGTAAGTTTATAGGCCTACAAGATAATATTCAATGAAACATACTATGCCAGCTAATGGCTATCATTACATTCCTAGGCTGTTTCCAGTCCCCCTCTTCCCCATAAAGTCATCGAGATTGAGTGCTTATTGTTACAGGTGGCAGGAACTCAAAAACCCTGAACGAGCAACTCCCATGATGGGCTTATATCATTATGTTTTCTTAGACCGGTTTATTTTAAGATACATTTTTGAGCACCTTTTCCCCAGGAAAATGGAATCTCTAGAATCTCTACTCCATTTATGAGCTCATTTGCTCATTTAAACGAAATTATTAATACAATGAAAAGGTTAAAAATATCATTTTTAGGTCTGTGGATTTAAGCTGACTAGTTTGTAACACTTGAAAGATATTCTAAGTTCGCGCCAAAAGTGTTCCAAAAATTACCTTTGTCTGTTAAAACACCGTGACACGAGTACATGGAAGTTGCTATCTTTGGGTTATTGGCTCCTGCATGTGGTCATTATGGAAAAATAGGGGACTGTGAACAGCCTATTTTATTCCCAGTTTCCATTTATCCAATCTCTCCCATCGCTTTTTTTTACTGACTATTCCCACCCATCCCCTTTCTTCACATTTTCCAGAATTTTTTTTACTTCCCCTTCTAAATTCTCTCACTTAACATAAATCTCTTTTTTGTGCATTCTTTGTCAGCACAAAAATACTGTTTCCATTCCAACTCTAGAATTTGACCAAGTTAGGGTTCCCACTTGATGTATTGACTAAGCGATGACTTGGTCAATACATCAAGGCCAAGGTCTGAGATTTCCCTGTAAATTATATGACCAAACGGTTAATAAATTATTTATTATATGGCCTTTTCATTATGGACTTAAGCCTACAATCAATTAAAATGGTCAGCGGATAACTTAAAAACACGTCACTTCATTGAGTTGTACCCTTGAGCCCATGATACAGTCTTGTAACACTGGTCAACAGATACCCTTTTTGACAGCTGTCAATTGACCATGAAAATCCATAAGGATGTCCACTGTCAAGTTAGCTACAGATTGTATATGCCTTGGACACCTAGCTAGTAATGCCTGGTCATTACAAGAAAATAATGCCCACTTAGCAACCAATCAGAGTGCACATACTTAATTGTAGCCATGTAATAAAAATGGCTATTGCATCTTTATAGATTGTTTAATTTACAGTATGTGCCCAAAAATGCTAAGAGACAAATCAGTGGGCCACACAGAATTACTAGGATCTATTTTTAAGGGATATAGAATGGTTCCTTGGAAAATGGAGGTCCCAGAAATTTTCGGCCAGATCTCGAAATCTCAGAAGCGTTTGTGACAGGTCTGGAAGTCTTATTTTCGGATACCTTTGCATCTTGGAGTATCAAGTTTTTTTAAGTCTGGGTCTCAAATTTTGAAACCGTGGCCTCACAGTCCCACAAAGTCTTGAATTTGCCATTCTATACCCCTTTTTTATAATGCTGTAATACCATGTCTGCTGTAGTAGTTATAATCATTTTGTTAATTATTTATTACAATAATATTAACGTATCTGAATTTTTACTGTATGTTTTTGAATTTGAATATTTTTATTGATCCATTGGGTATTTCATATCCTTGTTTTTAACAATTGTATATATTTTTAAGAATTTTGCTGAAGATTTTGCTAAGCCAATCACATATATATATATATTTAGTGAGGGCTGTTACGTGGTTTTTTTTTTCGCTATTTCCAGGTGGATATCCAATAATATTAACGTTACTAATGTATTCATCATACCTTGTGATATTGTATTTGAAAACAATTTTTTGAAATATATTTTCTTAATACTGTGATAGGAATTTTAGTTAAAGTTACAAAAATTAGTTAACAGTTTTTTAAATACCATTTTCATATCCTTGTTTGAACAGAAGTAGATAGGTGATTTAACAATAATATTCCTTAAAAATTTAGAATTAATATCAGTCACAATCTTTTCAATTAGGGTTTTTTGAGGGTCCACACTGTATTCCTAGTTAGGTGTGATATTTTTAAAATTAGTTCTTTGGCCAGGGAGATGGGAAGGGGGGGCGGTACAGGGATTATCAAGTAAAGACAGAAAAATTCTTCAGGGCTTCTGACAATTAAACCCCCTCAAGAATCCTTGGACCAAAAATTAACAACTCCCCCTCCCCTGATAGAAAATTTTCTCATGCCAAAATTTCTGGGCTTAAAATATGATTCAACGATTCTTCACAACAACAACCCAAAAAATGCCTGCTAAATTTTCTTCTGCCCCAAAATCCAGAATGCTTTGATCATCCTTGTCACTATAAATATAGATTGCCCCCCTCCCCACTCTCCACTGGGATATTTTATTACTATCAGTCTAGAAAACCACTGGAATGTTACTGTGTTGTAAGGAAAAAGCTAATTGGGCCCAAAAGTCTAAACTGCATGTGTTGGTGGTATATGATTGTGGTTTTATTGTATGCTTGTGTGTCCTCATCTCTGATGTGCTTTTTCATAGCACAATCAACATGCTTGTAATATTCCAAGTGTTCACCATCAACTTAGTATGAAAGTAAAACATTGAAATAATTGTATCATATCTTGAGTGGAATTTTATTCAGTTTGCTTTTCACTTGTAAGCCTTAAATATCACCAGTATTTTGAGTTTTCCTTTGTTTTCCTCTCATAAAAATAAATTCAAGAACAACATTTCTTTCTACTTTGGTCATAATACTGCAGCATAGCCATCACTTTTTCAAAGGAGTATTCTTCTGGAAAAATACTCAACATTCTGGTTGGCATTTTTTTTTCCATTTTTGATCAATAAGTAGCCTGTGTTGCAGCTGGCCCATGCACTCGTCTAAACCATTTAGTTTAGAGAAGGTTTATACAGCAGGTTTAGAGTGTCTGCGACGCAGGCAAATCAATAAAAGGGTATCTCAAGGTCTATTGGTTCAGAACTTAATATCCATACATATTCAACATGTCAAGCATACAGTCGATCCTCTGCCAACGGCCACCTCTCTACAGCGGCCACTCTTTTTCGTCTTGGTGGACAAAAAGGCCATACATTGACTCTTGTTTAAAGGTCGGTACACAAATTAGGTGACAAGTTGCAGCAACACGGTGAGGCAACACATAGCAGCAACAAATCGCTTCGCGTGTACTAGAGAATTTTTGTGAAAATCTTTGTTGCTGCAACAGAATTTTGTCACCGCAACAAGTAGTACAGATTCAGTCTGATTTGATTTTTTGCGACTTGTTGCAGCGACAAAATTCTGTTGGGGAGACAAAGATTTTCACAAAACTTCTCCAGACACATGAAGTGATTTGTCATGATTTGTCGCTGCGACATGTCTGTCACCTCACCGAGCTAACGTTGCCATTCGTTGAAATAGATGAAAAAGAACCTTTTCAATGGCTAAATATAGTGTAATGACAAAACTGGACATTTATTTTTGGAATTCAATTGACGTGAAGACAAGTTTTAGCTTATTAAAAGATACTAATAGCGTGACACATATCTCCGTTTATTGAGGCAACTGACAAAGGTACAAAATACTATCTTTTCATGAAGTGGAGGTTCTGATTCTCTCCCAGTTGTTTAGACTGCTATTGCCCCAGGGGAGCCCCAGCTATGGGCTGCCTGTGCGCTTTGAAAACAAATAAACCAAATAGGGACTGGGCACCAGCACAATATCTGCTTCCTTTTCCGCGAAGAGGGTCCTTGTTGGGTCCGTGGAAAATTGGAACGATGGGGCAGATAAAGAACTTACTCTTGGTTTTTACAGCCATAATTTTGACTGCGTTGCTCTTAAGAAGACTTCTAGGAATTTATGCTATTATAGTTCCTCTTCTTTATATGTTTTTCGACGTAAACTGGAGTCTACGCGTGGCATGGATGATTGTAAAGAAAGGTTTGCTCTACAGGAAAACAATAAATTCCAATTTCCTTGATGTATCCGATACAACTTTCATCGTTCTTCCTGCCGATATGGACCTCAATATGCACATGAATAATGCAAGGTAACTGCAAACATTCTATAAATTATATTGTGAGCAAGGCTTCAGAAGTTGGCGTCGTCGGCAAAGTCACCAAATGAAGGATCATCCTGATCTGGTTCCCAGGAAAGAGTACAATTGCAGCTACTGCTTGAAGTCATACTCGAACTCTTCCTCATTTGCATCACATGTAAAGAGGCACACTGGCCAAGTTCTTCGATGTACGTCATGTACTTTTGTCACTGTTTCAAAAGAGAACCTTGATATCCACATGAACAGCCATACAGGAGCAAAGCCTTACAAGTGTCGTTATTGCCCCATAGCTTATGGGCAACCAAATCGCCTTACTATTCATGAACGGTCTCACACTGGTGAAAAGCCGTACGCGTGTGATCAGTGTGATAAGGCGTTTGTAGATAAATACAGCCTAGTCAGACATGTTCGTATACACACTGGAGAAAAGCCTTACAAGTGTAGCTACTGTGACAAAGCGTTTGCTCAAGGATGCCAGCTGCAGTTTCATGAAAGAACTCACACTGGAGAAAAACCGTATGAATGCTCCCAATGTGAGAAAAAGTTTACTCGTCGACAGGAACTCAATAAACACATTGAAACTCATAAAAAAAGGCAACAAGACAATCAAAGCGAGAAGAAGGCCGCTGAAAAACATTATGAATGCACCTCCTGTAAAAAGAAATTTTCTTGTCAACAGGAGTTAAGCAAACACCTGGAAACCCATCAAAAAAGACAACAGTTGGTGAAAAGGAAAAGGACACAAAAGATAGCAGAGAGTGATTCTGGTTCAGAGTTCAGTGATATGGAAGTAGAAGATTTGGGGCAGAATAAGGAAGAGAGACTTGCAAGTTTAAGAAGTGCAAAGATAAAAACCAGATGTAAATGATAGTAAGTTTATAGGCCTACAAGATAATATTCAATGAAACATACTATGCCAGCTAATGGCTACCATTACATTCCTAGGCTGTTTCCAATCCCCCTCTTCCCCATAAAGTCATCGAGATTGAGTGCTTATTGTTACAGGTGGCAGGAACTCAAAAACCCGGAACGAGCAACTCCCATGATGGGCTTATATCACGACGTTTTCGTAGACCGGTTTATTTTTAGATACATTTTGAGCGCCTTTTTCCCCAGGAAAATGGAGTCTCTAGAATCTCTACTCCATTTATGAGCTCATTTGCTCATTTAAACTAAATTATTAATACAATGAAAAGGTGAAAAATATCATTTTTAGGTCTGTGGATTTAAGCTGACTAGTTTGTAACACTTGAAAGATATTCTAAGTTCGCGCCAAAAGTGTTCCAAAAATTTCCTTTGTCTGTTAAAACACCGTGACACGAGTACATGGAAGTTGCTATCTTTGGGTTATTGGCTCCTGCATGTGGTCATTATGGAAAAATAGGGGACTGTGAACAGTCTATTTTATTCCCAGTTTCCATTTATCCAATCTCTCCAATCGCTTTTTTTTACTGACTATTCCCACCCATCCCCTTTCTTTACATTTTCCAGAATTTTTTTTACTCCCCCTTCTAAATTCTCTCACTTAACATAAATCTCTTTTTTGTGCATTCTTTGTCAGCACAAAAATACTGTTTCCGTTCCAACTCTAGAATTTGACCAAGTTAGGGTTCCCACTTGATGTATTGACTAAGCGATGACTTGGTCAATACATCAAGGCCAAGGTCTGAGATTTCCCTGTAAATTATATGACCAAACGGTTAATAAATTATTTATTATATGGCCTTTTCATTATGGACTTAAGCCTACAATCAATTAAAATGGTCAGCGGATAACTTAAAAACACGTCACTTCATTGAGTTGTACCCTTGAGCCCATGATACAGTCTTGTAACACTGGTCAACAGATACCCTTTTTGACAGCTGTCAATTGACCATGAAAATCCATAAGGATGTCCACTGTCAAGTTAGCTACAGATTGTATATGCCTTGGACACCTAGCTAGTAATGCCTGGTCATTACAAGAAAATAATGCCCACTTAGCAACCAATCAGAGTGCACATACTTAATTGTAGCCATGTAATAAAAATGGCTATTGCATCTTTATAGATTGTTTAATTTACAGTATGTGCCCAAAAATGCTAAGAGACAAATCAGTGGGCCACACAGAATTACTAGGATCTATTTTTAAGGGATATAGAATGGTTCCTTGGAAAATGGAGGTCCCAGAAATTTTCGGCCAGATCTCGAAATCTCAGAAGCGTTTGTGACAGGTCTGGAAGTCTTATTTTCGGATACCTTTGCATCTTGGAGTATCAAGTTTTTTTAAGTCTGGGTCTCAAATTTTGAAACCGTGGCCTCACAGTCCCACAAAGTCTTGAATTTGCCATTCTATACCCCTTTTTTATAATGCTGTAATACCATGTCTGCTGTAGTAGTTATAATCATTTTGTTAATTATTTATTACAATAATATTAACGTATCTGAATTTTTACTGTATGTTTTTGAATTTGAATATTTTTATTGATCCATTGGGTATTTCATATCCTTGTTTTTAACAATTGTATATATTTTTAAGAATTTTGCTGAAGATTTTGCTAAGCCAATCACATATATATATATATTTAGTGAGGGCTGTTACGTGGTTTTTTTTTTCGCTATTTCCAGGTGGATATCCAATAATATTAACGTTACTAATGTATTCATCATACCTTGTGATATTGTATTTGAAAACAATTTTTTGAAATATATTTTCTTAATACTGTGATAGGAATTTTAGTTAAAGTTACAAAAATTAGTTAACAGTTTTTTAAATACCATTTTCATATCCTTGTTTGAACAGAAGTAGATAGGTGATTTAACAATAATATTCCTTAAAAATTTAGAATTAATATCAGTCACAATCTTTTCAATTAGGGTTTTTTGAGGGTCCACACTGTATTCCTAGTTAGGTGTGATATTTTTAAAATTAGTTCTTTGGCCAGGGAGATGGGAAGGGGGGGCGGTACAGGGATTATCAAGTAAAGACAGAAAAATTCTTCAGGGCTTCTGACAATTAAACCCCCTCAAGAATCCTTGGACCAAAAATTAACAACTCCCCCTCCCCTGATAGAAAATTTTCTCATGCCAAAATTTCTGGGCTTAAAATATGATTCAACGATTCTTCACAACAACAACCCAAAAAATGCCTGCTAAATTTTCTTCTGCCCCAAAATCCAGAATGCTTTGATCATCCTTGTCACTATAAATATAGATTGCCCCCCTCCCCACTCTCCACTGGGATATTTTATTACTATCAGACTAGAAAACCACTGGAATGTTACTGTGTTGTAAGGAAAAAGCTAATTGGGCCCAAAAGTCTAAACTGCATGTGTTGGTGGTATATGATTGTGGTTTTATTGTATGCTTGTGTGTCCTCATCTCTGATGTGCTTTTTCATAGCACAATCAACATGCTTGTAATATTCCAAGTGTTCACCATCAACTTAGTATGAAAGTAAAACATTGAAATAAATTGTATCATATCTTGAGTGGAATTTTATTTAGTTTGCTTTTCACTTGTAAGCCTTAAATGTCACCAGTATTTTGAGTTTTCCTTTGTTTTCCTCTCATAAAAATAAATTCAAGAACAACATTTCTTTCTACTTTGGTCATAATGCTGCAGCATAGCCATCACTTTTTCAAAGGAGTATTCTTCTGGAAAAATACTCATCATTCTTGTTGGCATTTATTTTTTTCATTTTTGATCAATGAGTAGTCTGCGTTGCAGCCTGCCCATGCACTCGTCTAAACCATTTTGTATAGAGCTTTATACAGAAGGTTTAGAGTGTCTCTGACGAAGGCAAATCAATAAGAGGATATCTCAAGGTCTATTGGTTCAGAATTTAATATCCATACATATTGAAAGTGTCAAGCATACGGTCGAACCTCTGCCAACGGCCACCTCTCTACAGCAGCCACTTTTTTTTCGTCCTGAGGGACAAAAAAGGCCATACGTTGATTCTTGTTTAAAGGTCGGTACACACTAGATGACAAGTTGCAGCAACACAGTGAGGCAACAGGTCGCAGCGACAAATTGCTTCGTGTGTACTGGAGAATTTTTGTGAAAATCTTTGTTGCTGCAACAGAATTTTGTCACCACGACAAGTAGTACAGATTCAGTCTGATTTGATTTTTTGCCACTTGTTGCAGCGACAAAATTCCGTTGGGGAGACAAAGATTTTCACAAAAATTCTCCAGACACACGAAGTGATTTGTCATGATTTGTCGCTGCGACATGTCTGTCGCCACACCATGTTGCTGCAACTAGTTGCCCGACCTGTTCACATGGAGTGATCTGTCGCCGCGACGTGTTGCTGCAACTTGTCGCATAGTGTGTACCGACCTTAAAACCTCTCTACAACGGCAATCTCTTTATAACGGCCACTTTCTTCTGTCCTCAAGGTGGCCATTGTAGAGAGGCTCAACAGTAATTTTTAAAATCCAGTGGTAGAGTTAAAGAGGTTATAATTTGTCGGTCATGGGGATATTGGTGTGGTGTTTTTTAAGTCAATTCTATGCAAGTCATTACTTTTGCCTTTACTCAAAATGCTTCTTTAGAGATATGAATATCTCAAACAATTTTCATCAAATGCACTAACATACGTTAGTAAAAAAAACTTGAAAATGTTGCCCCACTTTTTCAAGTTTCAGTACATGTCAATCCACGAGCTAACATTGCCATCCGTTGAAATAGATGAAAAAGTACCTTTTCAATGGCTAAATATAGTGTAATGACAAAACTGGACATTTATTTTTGGAATTCAATAGGCCATTAATGTACTAAGAGGTCACGTGACATCGTTTTTATGAAAATGAAAGTTATAGGATTTTGCCTTCGAAAAATGATTAGTGAGTCATATCTTAAACAAAATGATCGTGATTTGGTTTTTCAAACCCGCACCATTTTCTTAAAATGAGTAATTTTGAGCTGGTCACGTGACCAGAATATGATTTTTAAAATTATGAATTACCTCTTTCTGAACACAAATTTTGCACTTAAACTTCAAGGAAAATTTTGAAAATATGATGTGGTAATGTTTACAGCACATCTGAGCGTCACTATCAAAGTTTTAGCGAGATATAAGCAAAAAGTAGTTTTGGCCGCCATCTTGGAGGGCAAGAGTATGCCCTCCAACATGGCGGCCAATGCAAATCCTACTGCTCTGTTAAAAAATCAAAGTGCTATAAAATATCTCCCTTAAACGCGTTTCCCCTCAAATTTTGGGTGTACGGTAGTTTTATGTGCTCTGTCAATTTTTGGCATCAGCAAGATTCCAACTCATAGTTTAAAGGTAGCATTGGTCACGTGACCTCCTAGTGCAAGTGGCCTATTGACGTGAAGACAAGTTTTAGCTTATTAAAAGATACTAATAGCGTGACACATAGCTCCGTTTATTGAGGCACTAACAAAGGTACAAAATACTATCTTTTCATGAAGTGGAGGTTCTGATTCTCTCCCAGTTGTTTAGACTACTTTTGCCCCAGCGGAGCCCCAGCTATGGGCTGCCTGTGCGCTTTGAAAACAAATAAACCGAATAGGGACTGGGCGCCAGCACAATATCTGCTTCCTTTTCGGCGAAGAGTTGTTGAGTCCTTGAAACGATGGGGCAGATAAAGAACTTACTCTTGGTTTTTACAGCCATAATTTTGACTGCGTTGCTCTTAAGAAGATTTCTAGGAATTTATGCCATTATCGTTCCTCTTCTTTATATGTTTTTCGACGTAAACTGGAGTCTACGCGTGGCATGGATGATTGTGAAGAAAGGCTTGCTCTACAGGAAAACAATAAATTCCAATTTCCTTGATGTATCCGATACAACTTTCATCGTTCTTCCTGCCGATATGGACCTCAATATGCACATGAATAATGCAAGGTAACTGCAAACATTCTATAAATTACAATCTACTTTTAAGAAACTGACTTAAACGGTGCGATTCAAGTTGAGGCACCTTATTAATAATGAAAATGGCATTGTAGCTCAAGAGCATGAAAAATCTGTTTGCCAACTCTGCTCTTTAATATTAGTGAGTTTACACAACAGGATGGCTGAAGGAAGAGGACGGCGAAGTGCTTGTGCGTGACAAACATGACAGGGCTATTAACTGCGTGTTTTGTGGTGATCTTCACTTAAATTAATGTTTTCTGGTCTTTGACAAAAAGATCTGTTTACAGCAAGGTGAAGTTTGGCGGAAAGTTTTTTTAAACGAAACTATTGTCTCGCTTGTCACATAAGGTTTGCCATCGTCTTTCCTCTCCCGTCCTGTTGTGTAGGCTGGCTATTACTTTGGGGAGAATTTGGCTGTTGATCAGGGTTGTTTTCTAGAATACTAGCGGAAAGTGCAAAACTTTTTTATCCTTTTGGCCTATGCAGATGTTTTTTTGGCTCGTCACGCAACCCTCCTCAACGAACATTCATGGGTAAGGACAGCATGACCAAGCCCTAAGAAAGTCTGTGGCCTCCCACGTGTTCTTTGTTTTCCCTGTCATGCAACGCTCCTTAAGACAAAGAATGGCTGTGTGGGATACTGCCAACCGTACTATTTAGTTAGGGAAGGGTACTATAGTAATTTTTTTGTGGCAGGGACTCTGGAACCCTTGCCCTTTACCAGACCAATTTTTCAACTGCAATTTCCCTACCCCATTTTTAGACACCAAAAACCCATTCCCTAACCCTGACAAACATATATACCCTCTGATCATTTTATTAATGCTCTCTCACTTGCACAGTTAACTTGTCAACTAGCATCCACAAATTCACACAGGAAATAAAATTGTGTTTTATTTTGAAATACATTGTCAATCAAGTATGTTCCATATTTTGTACTGGTGTAGATATTCTATAAGTAACAGACAGCTACCTATAGATTCCCTGTGATCTTAGAGATCAGGATTAGAGTCAAGTCTTTGACTGATGTTGTAGGGTAGTTTTTTTAGCATATTGTTTCATTTATAAGATTGCTTTTATTTTAAGCATGATCCCTTTTTCTCCAACAGATACTTCCGGGAATGTGACTTTGGGAGAATTAACTTTTGGATCTCAAGTGGAATGATGAATGTGATGAGAAAGAATCACTGTGGAGTCACCATAGCTGCATCCTGTGTTCGTTATCGCAGATCTCTAGAACTTTTTCAGAAAGTTGTCCTAAAAACCAGGGTGTTAGCCTGGGATGAAGGGTCTTTCTATCTTGAGCAGAGATTTGTTGATAAAGATAACTTTGTTTATGCCATTGTGTTGACAAAAAACAAAGTGATTCAAGCGAGCAAAAAGGAACGAGTTGTTTCACCAGCTGAATTGGTACAATCGCTGAGTGGATGGAACATGCCAAGCCCTTCAATACCTCATGACTTGCACTTTTGGTTACAATATAACTCTGCTTCAAGTGCAAAGTTGAAAAATGCATTGTAAACAGCAGACAAAGCCTTCTAATGGATAAAAAATAATACTTTAAAAACAAACTCCCTTGAAAACTATTTGTGGCCGTTTTCATGGAAGGGGTTCACTTGCAATTTTTTTTTTCACCAGCACCCATGCAATAAATTAATAATATTTATTATTGTACTGGTGTTTATCATCCTTTAAATAAACTAAAGAAATAAACGGTTAAAAAATTCCCAGACTTTTAGGGATAGAACTGTCATTTTCGTGGGTCAAATCTTATGCCTTTCTCTTGCATTCCAGCTCACCTGTCTTTATTTTATGCATGTGTTGACTACTTTCATTCTCACGAAGAAGAATGAGGCGTCTCCCGAGTTTCTTTTTTATTACTGGAACTCCGAGTTGTTTCCAGTATAAAATCAGCAAAAATAGAGTGGAACATATAGGTACAAGTCTGTAACTATTAAAATAAGCATTCTTTTATACCAAAAAAATTTTAGTGCAACATCACAGAACAAAGAAATGCTTCTTCACCCTAGCTTTTGTTTTGAAGCCGACAGCAAAGTAAAACCTGCCAAGGCTTTGAAATTATTGAGACACATTTTTTACACAAATTTGCCGAATTGACGTTTCGAACAATACTTGTGGTAAAGCTTTTCTTTGCACGTAATGCGGACCCAAGTTTGTGTTACCCATGACCTGTTTCGGCGACCATGACCATGTTCTACATGTTTTGTGTCACGTGAGAAATGACGGAGTTGCGCATTTTCTGAGGGTTTGAGTAGATGTTTTTCCTTCTAAATTTATGACCATTTAATCATCAAATAAAAAGCAGCGAACGCCAAAATGTCCAACAAGAACACCTTTTTAAAGGTAGTATTGCTTGGCGATGGTGGTGTTGGAAAATCGTCTCTGATGAACCGATTTGTAAGTAACAAATTCGACAACCAGTCTTATCACACAATTGGGGTTGAATTCTTGAACAAGGATGTTACGGTGGACGGAGATTCGTACACGCTTCAAATTTGGGATACAGCTGGCCAGGAGAGATTTAAGAGCTTAAGGACACCCTTTTATCGTGGATCAGATTTGTGTCTATTAGTTTACGCCGTTGATGATGTACAAAGCTTCAAAAACTTAGCCATGTGGAGGAAGGAGTTTCTTTACTACGCGGACGTTCGCAAGGAAGATAACTTTCCATTTATCCTTTTGGGAAATAAAGTTGATGTTAACGACCGAGTTGTGTCACAAGAAGAAGCTCATAACTTTTGTAAAGAACTCGGTGGAATTCCTTACTACGAAACAAGCGCAAAAGACTCGACTAATGTCAACGTTGCGTTCGCGGCTGCTGTTAAAAGACTGAATGAACTAGAGCAAACCAGGGTGAAAAATGATTTTAATGCGACTGAAGGAGTCAATTTATCCAACGTCCGGAAGAGAGAAAGTTCGGGTTGTTGTGATTAATCATTAGATCACTGACTTTTTGTAAACCTTGAATTTTTAGGTGGTGTTACTGCGCTTTTCACAAACATGCGAACTCTAACGTTCAAAAGCCTCCGTCACAATTCAGTTTTTCGCTGCCGTCAATCATAATTACGATCACAAGCAACGAACCCTGAAAAAACGGATCGAAATCCACCAATCACAAATCAGAAACCATGACCTTTTGAACCTGTTAAAGTAAAGTATTGTTTCCTAATAGGTCCGTTAAGATGATTGACGGCATAAAAAAAAACGCAATCATCAGTTGGCTTTTGAACTTCAGAATTCGCATGTTTGTGAAAAGCGCAGTAAATTTCATGATGATACTTTGATGGGAGCTTTCCATTTGTTACTCCCACCCTTTCCAAAAGTGGCAAGATTCCTGCCCATGAAATCTTATTGCTAACCCATAAGAGAAGAGTTAAAGGGTTTAGTTTCCACCTAACAAAACTTCCAAGGAATTGGCCACTTTTAGTTGGGGTGACAATGGGGGAGTTGGGGGGGGGGGGAGGGGGGGGGGGGG